TTTTTAGCCTGGGGAGGGGCCGTGGCTCACTGACAGAGCATCTGCTGGGTAGGCAGAAGGTCCCAGGCTCAATCCCCAGGATCGCCAGTTAAAAGGACCAGGCAGCAGGTGATCTGAAAGACCTCTGCCTGAGACCCTGGAGAGCCATGAAGTCGGGCTGTGGCTCAGTGGTAGTGTGTCTGCTTGGCATGCAGAAGGTCCCAGGTTCAATCCCCAGGATCGCCAGTTAAAAGTACCAGGCAGCAGGTGATGTGAAAGACCTCTGCCTGAGACCCTGGAGAGCCATGAAGTCGGGCTGTGGCTCAGTGGTAGTGTGTCTGCTTGGCATGCAGAAGGTCCCAGGTTCAATCCCCAGGATCGCCCGTTAAAAGGACCAGGCAGCAGGTGATGTGAAAGACCTCTGCCTGAGACCCTGGAGAGCCATGAAGTCGGGCTGTGGCTCAGTGGTAGTGTGTCTGCTTGGCATGCAGAAGGTCCCAGGTTCAGTCCCCAGGATCGCCAGTTAAAAGTACCAGGCAGCAGGTGATGTGAAAGACCTCTGCCTGAGACCCTGGAGAGCCATGAAGTCGGGCTGTGGCTCAGTGATAGTGTGTCTGCTTGGCATGCAGAAGGTCCCAGGTTCCATCCCCAGCATCTCCAGTCAGGTAGGAGGTGATGTGAAAGACCTCCACCTGAGACCCTGAAGAGGCGCTGCCTGTCTTAGACAGTACTGATTTTGATGGACCAAGGGTCTGATTCAGTATAAGGCAGCTTCACATGTTCATTTGTGTTCACTAGCTTTGGCAGAAACTGTGGGCCGTTGTGCTGGAATCTCTCTCTTGTCCATACAGAAGAGCAGACATCGAATGTCTAACTCATTGCTTCTTTAGTTGTGGTTTATATTCCACTCAGAGAGCCAGTTTGGCGTAGTGGTTAAGAGCGTGGACTCTGATCTGGGAGAACTGGGTTTGATTCCCCCTCCTCCACATACAGCTGCTGGTGTGACCTTGGGTCAGTCACAAGTTCTCTCAGAGCTGTTCTCGTACGAGCAGGTCTCAAAAGAGCTCTCTCAGCCCCACCTGCCTCACAGGGTGTCTGTTGTGGGGAGGGGAAGGGAAAGGAGTTTATGAGCCACTCTGAGACTCCTTCAAGTAATGAAGGGCCGGGTATAAATCCAATCTCTTCTTCTCCTCCTCTTCTCAAATGGCTTTCTTTATAATACCTCTTGTTGCCAAGTTTCCTGTCTGCTCTCGTGATTTTTATATTTTACTTCTCTTTCCGATCATAATAAGGGAGTCACACTCTCTGCAGCGCGAAATTTATTCTTTCCGCTCATAAAATCAGGAGCTTGTATTTGCCACCTAAACCTGGGGATCGAATTTTTATGTAACAGCTAATCGTTTGGGAATTGCTTTTTGATTCGCCCACGTACTTTGGCACGTAGGTGCTCAAATTTCTGAACGGGAACAGGTTACGAAAAAGGTTGTCCAAATTTGCCTTATGGAGTTGATGAAAAGCAAACGGCGCTGGGGGGCGGGGGCGGGTTGAAGGTTCCACGCTGCTTTTCTCCGCACTCGGGTCGAAGGCGGCTTAATAATCACAGGCAAAACAGCCCATTCAAAGCATAAAATACAAAAGCCCATTTAAAAACACCAGGGTGTTCTCGCGCGCAAGCTCTGTCGAGACACAAGGGAGCTCTGCAAGGGACTCCGTAGTGATATTTCTCATTTGAGCTCCTGAGACTGATTAAAATGTGGGATTTGCGGCCAGAGGATGTAGTGATGGACACAGCTTTAAAAGGAGATTAGATAGCTTCATGGCAGAGAGGTCTATCAGTGGCTATGGATCATGGTCACTGGTGGGAATCTCCACATTCAGAGGCCCTAATCCTATGAATCCTAGAGCCAGGAGGCAACATCAGGAGAAGGCCTCAGCCTCTCTGCCCTGGTTGGCCACTGTATGAAATGGGATGCTGAACTCAGTGGACCACTGGTCTGATCCAGCAGGGCTCTTCTGATGTTCTCATGAAGGCCTCGGCCTCTCTGCCCTGCTGTTGGTCCTCTAGAGGAACTGGTTGGCCGCTGTGTGAGACAGGATGCTGGACTCAATGGACCACTGGTCTGATCCAGCAGGGCTCTTCTGATGTTCTAATGAAGGCCTCGGCCTCTCTGCCCTGTTGTTGGCCCTCCAGAGGAACTGGTTGGCCACAGTGTGAGACAGGATGCTGGACTAGAGGGACCCTCACTGGTCTGATCCAATGGAGCTCTTATTTTGTTCTTATGCTTTCTTTCAGCAAACTGGATATAGACTTCCTGTATATGGCCTATGCGGACATCATGGCAAAGGTACATGAGGGATTGACTGCACCCTGTCCCAATTCCCTTCCAGTTGTTTTGGTTTGATTTCCTTTCTAATTATACCTGTCAGTCAACAAGGGTTAATTGGCACAAAGACTGAAACAAATGAATAAGCAACTATTATTTCAAGTGAAATGAGCAATCCACGAAAGGAGGCAGAGGAGCTGAATGTCTCTCCACTTATTGTGAGGAGTGGGATTTGACTGCAGGCACCTGAGAAGAAAGATCTGTCCAAATGTCACATCTTAAACGTCCTCTGAGGACCTCAGTGGGGGGGGGGTTCTCTTCTCCATGTTTTATCCATGCGGTAGACCTGTGAGGTAGGCTGGGGTAAATAGTGACTGGCCCCCTGTCACCCAGTAAGAGAGTCAGTTTGGTGTAGTAATTAAGTGCGCGGACTCTCATCTGGGAGAACCGGGTTTGATTCCCCACTCCTCCACTTGCACCTGCTGGATGACCTTGGGCAAGCCTCTGTCAGAGCTGTTCTTGAAAAAGAGCCGTTTCTGTCAGAGCTTTCTCAGCCCTACCTACCTCACAGGGTGCCTGTTGTGGGGAGGGGAAGGGAAAGGAGATTGAGAGCCGCTATGAGACACCTTTGAGTAGTGAAGGATGGAATATAAATCCAATCTCTTCTACTTCTAATAAATATTTATTAGTTCATTTACATTATTTATACCTCACTGTTCTCCCCAGTGGGAACCCGAAGCAGCTTACATTGTTCTCTTCTCCTCCATTGTTCTCCTCAAAACAACCCTGTGAGGTAGGTTAAGCAAAGAGTAAGGACTGGCCCAAGGTCACCCAGTGAGCTGCCACGGCAGAGTGTGACTTTGAACCTGAGTCTCCCAGATCCTAGTCTGACCAACACTCTGCACCAGTGTTCCCTCTAAGCTGAGTTAGTGTGAGCTAGCTCACAGTTTTTTAGCCTCCAGCTCACACATTTTTGCCTTAGCTCAGGAAGGAGGGCTCCAGAGCAGACTAATTTATGCAGCAGCCAAATTGCTCGCTCACAACTTGAATGTTTTTTTTTTTCTTCTTCTTCTTCTTCTTCTTCTTCTTCTTCTTCTTCTTCTTCTTCTTCTTCTTCTTCTTCTTCTTCTTCTTCTTCTTCTTCTTCTCCTTCTTCTCTAAGCATAATGCTGGAAGGAAAAACAGATGTGCATCTATAAAATGCAGACTGCAGGCTCATAAAGCCTCAGTTTGCCTCGGGGTCAGCTAGGCAAGGGAAAGGGAGTTTAACCCTTCAACCTCCATGGTTTCGCTAATTGTTAGCATTTCTTCCATAAGGATGGATCAAGGTGAGCAGCCATGTTGGTCTGAGGCAATACGACAAAGTCAGAGTCCGGTGGCACCTTTTAAGACCAACAGATTTTTATTCAAGATGTGAGTTTTCGTGTGCAGGCACACTTTGTCAGCATTTCTTGTCGGCGTGTTTTTAAAGCAGTTGTCATTTATCCATAAAAACACCGAATTGGAGACTGGGGGAACTAGGCTTGATTATCGAAACTGAGCGGAGGCTGAAGGGTTAATCCTCTTTCTTCTCCTGCATGGCCCGAGGCAGAGTGAGGTTGCGTGAACCAGCAATTTGCATTTTGTAGGGGGGTAGATCTTCCCAGGGGTCATTTCATAGAAAAAGAGATGCAAGGGCTCATTAGCATAACTCATTGGCATAACTTATTTGCATATCCCACGCCCTCTGACATCACCGGAAGTGTGTCAGAAGGCAGCACCCACCGCTCAGGCGCCACTGGACTGTTTTGGATTGCTACCTATTGGGGGGGGGAACGTGCAGATCTGTCCTCGCAGAGGAGGGAGAGCTTGTACCTGAATAAAACCTGGTCTTAAAGGTGCCACTGGACTGTTTTGGACCGGGGGGCCGCGGGGGGGAGCTCTGCAGCTTACCTGGCTGCTTCTTGCTCTGACTGAGGGCTGCTGGGAGCAGGGGGCGGAGCTTGTTGCATGTGCCGGCCCCCTTGGGCTCTTTACTGCCGGAGCTCCACTCCTGTGCGCTCCTGCAGGAAATGACCCCTGGTAGAGGGATAGATCTTCATTATCCAACACTCAAATGGGCTACCCCCCCTCTGACTCTCCTGAGGTAACAACTGAGTAAAATCAGTGGTTCTGTGACTGGTCTGTAACATCTCTGTATAAGGAAAAGTCCTCCTTGTAGGAGAATGTCTCAAATGTCTGTGTTTGGTTTCTCCCAGACCATTCTTACCAATCCCACAGTGAGGCAATATGGGTCAGTAGGAAACGTTTTTGATGCTACAGGGATCTTAAGTTTTGGAGTTACCCACAGCTCATTTTTCTGAATTATGAGCTAAGCCAGGGGGTCCTCAGAATGGCGCCCGTTGGCACATTTACTGGTGTCTGCCAAGTGCTTTTTGGGCGGGGCAAGATGCGGCTTTTGCGCAGCTAGGCTTCTGGTGGCCTACACCACACAGGGATCTTCGCTGTGTGACTGTAGGGAAGCCGCGGGCAGCCATTTTGTGGTGGGCCAGCACTGCACCGGGATCTTCGCTGTACGACTGAAGAGAAGCTGCGGGCAGCCATTTTGTGGTGGGCTCGCTCCGCCCTCTGTGGCGGCCATTTTGTGGTTGTGCCCCCCACATTGTATCAGAATTCCAAAGGTGCCCACAGGCTCAAAACTGTTGGGGACACCTGTGCTAAACGACACCGTCATGTTCACAGCAAAGAACCAGTCAGATGCTGAGAGGGAGCCTGTAAGGGGTATGTGTTGGCAGCATGTGTTCTTGAGCTGCTGCCCACCCGGGTTTGTCTTTCTCCCCCTCCCCTGTCCTCAGAGTTGCCACATAGATGAGGGCGAGGGTGAAGAAGAAGGCGAAGAAGAGGAAGAAACGGAAGCTTCCTTTGAGGTAAGTAATCTCTCTGCACTCAGCCCTTCCCAAACCGGTTTCTGAAATTTCTGCAGGCATTGGCCCATGTGTTTCCCTAGATCCTTCGGGTTGGGAGGTTCTTCGGGTTGGGAGGAGGAGTCCAACCCCCCTGCTCAATGTAGGAAATTCAAAGCTAGAGAATCCCCGACAGATGGAGGGAGAGCCAACCCTTCCCTTCTTAGACAAAATGGTTCCATTGCTGCTCGTCTTGTTTCTCAGCCATAAGGTGCAGAAGATTGTTTATTTTCCCTCAAACACCACGTTGTCTCCTGGCTTCCCTAGGCTGTGGTTTGAATGCCTCTGTGGGAACTGTTTGCGATGCCCTCTCCTGACCGGTGTTAGCCAAATTGCCTTAAATTGTTAATAGAAGAAAAAGAAGGGTTTTATTACATTTAGCCATAGGCCATTACAAACCATGAACAGAGGAGAATACAATAAAACATAGAAAATTGTATAAAATAAGATACAGTCTAAAACATTATAAATCCATAAAACCGAAGTTATAAACAATTAATTAATTCAGAACATACCCACTAAAATCAGTAGTAGCTAGGAACAGCGTTGGCCCGTATTTTCCTTGCAGCCAAGGCGAATAGAGCCATTCTATTGGATACATCAGCATTGACATCGGCTAACAAAAATATAATCTTCTCTGGGACTGAGTAAAAGCTTAAAACTGGTAAAATACCAGATAAAAAATTTGACCTAGGCTGGGAATACAATGGGCAAGAAATTGTTAATAAGCTTGGGGGAATTATGAGATAAAAAGGGCAGTTGACACATAGCACAGGAACATAAGCTTTGTATACCAAAGTCGGAATTCCCAGAGCCCGTGAATAGACGAGGAGACCAGGTTGGCTGAAATAATTGGTCTTTGTTACTTAATAATTCTCAAGCATGTAATAATAATTACCAAGCAAGCTCACGCACACACAATACAGAACTAGGAAACTGGGCAGGAAAAGACAGCGACTTTTGCATTAGCAGGTATTATTGTTGGTGGGTGATAACGTTACCTGTCCGGCAAAATGAGTAGACCTTGCAGCGAAAGTGGAACAAAATGAAAAAGGGAATGGATCATGAGTCGGCCAGCGACACACGTGGAGTAGTTCCAAACCGATCAGGGATGGAACCAGAAAGGTGGGTAGGGGCACAGGAGAGAGAGAGAGAACTCACCTTAAGTAGCCAAATTGTGACCAGAAGCAATAGCCAGGTGACCACAGGTTCCCAGGAAATGCAGACAAAAAGAATAATACCTCAGGATGGGTAAGACAAAGGAAACGGCCGTTGGACGATTTAGGGGTGATGGACGGCAGGGAGCGACACCCCTTGGGGAATGTGTGAGACAAGGGAAGCGGGAAGGCGGGCGATGGTTCGCTGCTTCACTTTAACGATCCGATGCTTGTCCGAGGCATTGTCTGGATCGGCGGCAGGAAGGCTAAATCACTTCTTTTGTTTCTAGCTGGGCGACTAGTCTTTGAGAATGACTCGGGAGGGGGAGAGGAATGTGCTGCGCGATGGAGAGGAGATTCCTTCATGGCTTCGGGGTGGGAACATTTGCCCCCTCTCCGAACATGGCTTCTCTCTCTGGCCTGCCCCTGCCTTTGTGCTCATGGAGGCCAGGGCTGTGGGTCTGCACCACAGTCCTTGTGCAGGGGCAGAAGGCTTCGGTAGTCCTGGGTCCAGAGCTGACTTGGCATCCTTCTCCGGTGCAAGGGCTCCCCTTTGCCGCAGTGTACAGTCCATAGTCCAGCATTGGGACATTTCACTTAGGACCACAGCTCTGTCTACCGCCCTAGCGCACACTCTTCATGGCCCAGCAAGGCAGTGATAGTTGATTCAAGTTTAGATTCAAGTTAGCCTTTATTGGCATAAATTGTTGATACAGAATATCTGTCACGAACACGGTACCCGGTCAGGCAGGAGCATGATAGTCCAAAGGCAGTCCAAAGTCAAAACCGGGCAAGTATAAACACCGAGAGACCAAGTCCAAATCACCAACCATTAGAGTAGTCGTCAAAGCCAGAGTCCAGAGAAGTCAGAAGCCAGGAAGTCAGAGGTCCAAGGTACAGGTCAGGAGCATAGTCGTACGAGTCCAAAGGCAGTCCAAAGTCAAAACCGGGCAAGTATAAACATCGAGAGACCAAGTCCAAATCACCAACCATTAGAGTAGTCGTCAAAGCCAGAGTCCAAAGAAGTCAGAGGTCCAAGGTACAGGTCAGGAGCATAGTCGTACGAGCCGAGGTCAGGAGCCAAGAAGTCAAGATGAGGAACAGGAACACGGGTGGTGAGGTGCGGAGCTTCGTCCAGAATGACTGGTTGCTAGCACAACTAGTCGGCGTGAGTGTGAGAGCTAAATAGCCCGTCAGGCTGTCGGCAATTAGCACGCCCTGATTGTGTCCCGGCTCCCGCTAGTACTCAGGGCTAAAAGAGCGCCTACCGTGCATGCGCACATCCCGCCGCCGGGATGCCATGTCCCATCGGCGTTCCCGCAAATGGGATACTGGTGGCGGTGAGTCAGGGGGCGTGTTGCTCCGGCGTGATTCTGCTTCAGCTGTTGCTGGAGCAGTTTCTGTGGCTTCAGTCCTATCAGGTGCGGGGTTTTCAGGAGCCGGGAGCTCATCCCCAGCAGTACTTCGGTCTTCTGCCGGGGCCCGATGCTCATCCCCAGCAGTACTTCGGTCTTCTGCCGGGGCCAAATGCTCATCCCCAGCAGTACTTCGGTCTTCTGCCGGGGCCCAATGCTCATCCCCAGCAGTACTTCGGTCTTCTGCCGGGGCCCAATGCTCATTCAGCAGCAGTCGTGACACTATGCAATTTAAGAGCAAAATAAAAACACGACCACAGGTACATCAGTTTTTTAAAAAAGAGTCTTTAATAGTGCCATCTGAAAGGGCTTCATGGCAACAACAGCAGCCCCCGTTAGCGCAGGGAGCCAGTGCCTGATCTCCCGGACACTAGGTGCCTGGGGTTACCAACCTCCAGGTGGTCGAAGCCGAAAGTGAGAGATCACAGGAGGAGATGGAAGTCCAAACAAAACATCCGTGATGAAAATAACGAAGTGTCAATAAAGATATATATGTGAAATTGTTTACTATGATAATAATTATAATTCTGTGGGAAACTCTCTCCTTTTATCGCTCCCACGCAACGAATTTTACGCAATAAAAATATCCGTTTCACAAGGATTGCTTTATCTGAGCACTTAGTAATTGCAATTCTTATCAATTCCCACTTATCAGCTCTTGAAATAAACATCCCATGTTGACTGTCTGATATCAGATTGTGAAGACCTTGGGTTCTGAGGTTAAGATGCTGAAGTGCAGGTAGTTCGGCAGTTCGAGACCCGAGTACCGCGTGATGGACTGATCTCCCGTCTCTGGCCCCAGCTCCTGCTAACCTAGCAGTTCGAAAGCAAGAAACTGCAAGTAGATAAGCAGGCACCGCTGTGGTGGGAACATAACAGCGTTCTGTGCACCTTGGTGTCTGGTCATGCCGGCCACATGGCCACGGAGACGTCTTCAGACAGTGCTGGCTCTTTGGCTTGGAAACGGAGATGAGCACCGCAACCCTAGAGTCGGGTTCGACTGACTTCCGAGCAAGGGAGACCTTTCCCTTTACCATTTACAGATAAAGCAATCCTTGCGAAACGGATGTTTTTACTGCGCAAAATTCGTTGCGTGTGAGCGATAGAAGGAGAGCGTTTTCCACGGTTAAGTGGTTAAGACGATGAACTGCAGGCTGTGGAAGGTCGGTAGTTCAGCAGTTCGAGACCCGGGTGCCGCATGACAGAGTGAGCTCCCGTCTCTAGTTCCAGCTCCTGCCAACCTAGCAGTTCGAAAGCAAGAAATTGCAAGTAGATAAATAGGTACCACTTTCGGTGGGAAGGGAACAGCGTTCCGTGCACCTTGGTGTTTAGTCATGCCGGCCACATGACCACAGAAACGTTCGAGATCCGGGTGCCACATGACGGAGTGAGCTCCCGTCTCTAGTTCCAGCTCCTGCCAACCTAGCAGTTCGAAAGCAAGAAATTGCAAGTAGATAAATAGGTACCACTTTCGGTGGGAAGGGAACAGCATTCCGTACACCTTGGTGTTTAGTCATGCCGGCCACATGACCACAGAAACGTCTTCGGACAGCGCCGGCTCTTCAGCTTGGAAACGGAGATGAGCACCGCAACCCTAGAGTCGGACTCGACTGGCTTTCGAGCAAGGGAACCTTTACCTTTTTACCTATAATTATCATAATGAACAATTTCGCATATGTATCTTTATTGACTCTTCGTTATTTTTGTCATGGAAGTTTTGTTTGGACTTCCATCAATCTCCAGGTGGTGGCCGGAGGTCTCCCATAAGTAAAACCGTTCTCCAGGTGACGGAGATCAGTCCTCCTGGAGAAAAATGGCTGCTTTGGAGCATGGACTGTTGAACATGACACGAACTCCACACCTTCGGCCCTAAACCTCTCGCACTCTTGCCTCCCTGCAGGAGAAGGAGATGGAGAAGCAGAGACTGATCAGTCCTCCTGGAGAAAAATGGCTGCATTGGAGCGTGGACGGTTGAGCATGACACTAACGCCACACCTTCGGTCCTAAACCTCTTGCACTCTTGCCTCCCCGCAGGAGAAGGAGATGGAGAAGCAGAGACTTCTGTATCAGCAGGCCCGCCTACACAACCGGGGGGCGGCCGAGATGGTCCTGCAGATGATTAGCGCCTGCAAAGGTGAGAGAGGCGACTGCGTTCTTTTCCCCCTGAACTGCAGCAGGTGATGGGTCTCTCTGCACCGAGTAGAGTTTTGTGGGGCTCTTCTTCACAGGGCTATTTTTGGGCCGGAACGCACAGGAACGGAGTTCCGGCTGGCTCCCGAGTTGGCCACACCCAGCAGAAACTCATTGGCATAATCAGCCACACCCAACAGCAGGAACTCATTAGGATTGGCTACATCCGGGGTGTGTGGCCTAACATGCAAAGGAGTTCCTGCTCCAAAAAAAAGCCCTGGGTTTGGACAACAAACAAGGTAAACAGAATAAGAAGCAAAAAAAAATAAGAAGCAAAAGGTGGGTGTGGTTGGATGAGCACACTTCTGGTAACACAGGGGTGTGGCCTAATATGCTAATGAGTTCCTGCTGGGCTTTTTCTACGAAAGAAGCCCTGCTTCTTCATCCCCAGATGGGGCATGTGTCTGTTGCACGGGACAGCCTCTGGAGGATTGAAATGAAGGCAAGATAACTTTATCTCAAGTCCAGGCATGAGCCTTGTTTTCTTAAACAAATGTTGTTGTTTTTAAAGCCAAGGTACTCAAAGTTTAAGATTTTGTCCCGTTGGTATCAAGCACCACAGCAGTTGCCACGAGTTTTTACGACATGCTCACCTCTCTGCTGGAAAGGGTGTGGAAAGGTGGGGTCGTATGCACATTGTTGGTGGCAGTGTGAGAGAACCAGACAATTCTGGAGGACGATTTTGGACCAAATATTCCCTGTAACGGGTGACGTTGTCCCATTGACACCGGAGATATTGTTTCTTAATAATTGGAAGGATAGCAGAGTCCCAAATATAAGAGTGACTCTCATACCTTCTAATACAGGAGTGTCAAACTCATTTGTTATAAGGGCCAGATTGGACATAAATGAGACCTTGTCGGGCCGGGCCACGCGTGTCATAAAACGTAACGCCAGGTAGCGGAGATATAAACTTTACAAAGGACACAAACACAAAGTTGGGTTTTTTACTTAAAATAAAAGCACGCTCAAAACATTAGCTCTGTAAGCTGCAAGCCTGCTTTTGATTTATTGACATTCACCACAGGAATCTCATGCTCAGAGTTCTGAGTCTAGGACCCAGGTTAAATGGCTGAGCGATTAAGAGAGTCTGGTGAAGCAAGCTGTGATGCAGCAGCAGCAGAACTGGAAGCAGGAGATGGCCAGTTCCACTGTGGGCCTGATGGAAGCCCTCCGGGGGCCTGATCCGGCCTCCGGGCCGCATGTTTGACACCCCTTTTCTAATAGCTGCCAAAACATCTGTAGTGGATAATTGGAAACAACCAAATGCACCTACGCTTCATATATGGCAATGTAAGTTATGGGAGATGTATATAATGGAAAGAATTACGTATAATATGAAATTTGAAAATAATCCTCCTTCCTCAAGTTTTATAGAAGTGTGGCCTGTGGTATTGAACTACTTGGTGCAGATGGGAGTGGTCCAAAAAACTGAAGTACTTAACTGAAAATGCCATATTAAGGATGTTTATAAGTTGCAAGATCTGATGTTTGGTATTGCTTATTTACTTTCTGTTCCAACAGTCTTTGTTGTCTGTTACGTTATTACTTTGCAATATGTTTCATGCTTGTGTATTTGTTGGTTGTACTAAATACAAATTGTCAAATTAAAAAAAAACAAGGTTGGCAAACTCACAAACGCACAGAAAGCGTCCAGCTCTCCCCAGGAGTGTAAAAATGTGGGGTTTTTTTCAAGTTCTAAGGCTCTTGCATTGGTCCAGGAGTGTAATGTGGTGGGGGTTTTTCAAGTTCTAAGGCTCTTGCATTGGTGTTTTGGAATCAAAACGAAATGTTTACGCTGTAGCACAGGGGTCCCCAACGTGGGGCCCGTGGGCGCCATGGCACCTGCCGACATTTTTACTGGTCCCCGCCAAGTGGTACTGGGAAGTGAGTGGGGCCTGATGGGGATTCTGCCTACGAAGGCTTCTGATTGGCTGTTGGAGATTTGATCCGCTCTGCCGATTTTTAAAAATGGCGGTTTGGCAGCCGCTGCCAACACAACACAAGGATCTTCGGTGTGTGACTGAAGGTAGGCTGTAGCGGCCATCTTTGTGACTGGCGCCGCCTCCCGTGGCAGCCATTTTGAAGCAGCCGTTTTGTGTTAGAATTCCAAAGGTGCCCACAGGCCCAAAAAGCTTGGGAGCTCCTGCTCCAGCATCACCGAGGGTTGGGGGGAAAGTTAAAATGCCCCCCCTAGAGGATAGGTTTCAGGTGGCCCCCTTCTCCTTTGACCCTGGCTGGACCTCCGCAAAGAGGTCTTTCCCTCACGCCCTTTAGCTTGCCTCAGAGGCATAAGAAGCCAGTTCTCGATTCCTCTTTCTCTGTCGGCAGGGGAGCCGGGCGCCATGGTCTCCTCCACCCTGAAGCTGGGCATCTCCATCCTGAATGGCGGCAATGAGGAAGTGCAGCAGGTATGAATGGGGGGAGCCGAGCATCTTGGAGAGCGGCTTATCCTTTGGGGGGGGGAGGTGGTGCAGGAAACCGCCATCGAGTCACAGACAACTTACGGCAGCCCAGTAGGGCTTTCAAGGCAAGAGACGTTCAGAGGTGGCCTTGCCATCGCCTGCCTCCGCGGTCTCCCATCCAAACACTAACCAGGGCCGACCCTGCTTAGCTTCTGAGATCTGACCAGCTCAGGTTAGCCTGGGCCATCCAGGTCAGGGCTACTTATCCTTTAGTCGTAGTGAACCAAAGAGTGCCTGCGGATAAGCAAGCCGCCAGTGAATCGCAGTCTCGCTAATAACTGTACAATGGGGTTGTCAGTGCCATCCCCCCCCCCAGTCGTGGCGGGGTTTGTCCCGATTTTGGGGGGCCCAATCCGCTGGCAGCCAGCTGGCCAGCAGGGAAAGCACCACCCCCAAAAAGCCCCCTCCTGCGGCGCCAGCACCGGCGTGATGACGTCACCCAGAAGTTGATGGGGGGGACGCTCTAGGATTTGGGCAAACTCTATGGTTTTGAGGGCAAGAAACCATAGACTTTTGCCCAAAACTTAGAGCCTCGCCCCCAACGTTGGTGGTGTGGTGATGTCACTTCCGGGTGAAGTCATCACCGAAGGCATCCCGACTGCACCTAGGGGGCCCCCTCCTGGCAGCCAGGAAGGACCCGTCAACCGTACTGTGCAACCAGTTGTTTATTCGGGAGCAAGAAAAGAGGCCGGTATGAAATAAGCCCTGAGTAGCTGAGAAGTAAGGACTGAGTAGCCCCCTGAGCCAAAGCAAACAGAATTCTTTGGGCAAGGAATTTTAAGGAGAGAACTGGGCCATTGAAAGGGAGGAGTGGTGCATGCTGGGAAATTTGTGGCAAAAGGCTGTGTGGGAGACCTAGAATGGGGAGATGGAAACTGTGGGTGGAGTCGGAAAATGGTGTGGCGAGCCAAATGTGAGGGGTCCAAGAGGCAAAAAGTGTGTCTGGGAGGGGAAGGAGCGAAGGTGAAGGGGCGGGTTTGTGTCAGGCAGACGAGGAAGATGAAGGAATTGTGAGAAACGAGGGGCGGAAAAGGCAAAAGGATCGAGTTCAGGCTCCCCTTTGCCCATCCCATGTCATTCTTGAACTCCAGAGCCAGTTTGGTGTGGTGGTGGTTAGGAGCGCGGACTCTAATCTGGGAGAACCGGGTTTGATTCCCCACTCCTCCTCCACACGCAGCCAGCTGGGTGACCTTGGGCCAGTCACGAGCTCTCCCAGAGCTGTTCTCTCACGAGCAGTCCTCGAAAGAGCTCCCTCGGCCCCACCCACCTCCCAGGGTGTCTGTTGTGGGGAGGGGGAGGGAAAGGAGATTGTAAGCCGCTCTGAGACTCCAAGTGAAGGGCGGGGTGTAAATCCAGTCTCCTCCTCCTCCTCCTCCTCCTCCTCCTCTTCTTCTTCTTCTTCTTCTTCTTCTTCTTCTTCTTCTTCTTCTTCTTCTTCTTCTTCTTCTTCCTCTTCCTCTTCCTCTTCCTCTTCCTCTTCCTCCTTCTCGCCTTTGTTCAGAAAATGCTGGATTATCTGAAAGAGAAACGGGAGGTGGGGTTCTTCCAGAGCGTCCAGGCCCTCATGCAAACTTGCAGGTACGTCGCCTCCGTCCTCTCCCCTCTCCCCTCCAACTGCTCTCTCCTGGGATTAGTGGTGATGAGGAACGGTTGGGATGTCTCTTCCTCCTGCGAGGGAGGTGGGCGCAAGTAAACTGACAGGCCTCCTCATCTCAGGCTCTTCCATCTGTGAGGGTCCTTCTCTTCTAAACTGAAAAGTCCCAGATTCTCTTCAGCCTTTCCTCATAGAGGAGGTGCTCCGACGGCTTCATTGGCGCCTGTTGGGTGCTGAGTGCAGGGAAACACCAAGACTTGATGGGCATCTAAAATTCATTCTGTCTCTGGCAGGGGTCATTTCGTAGGAAAAGAGGGGCAGGGGCCCATTAGCATAACTCATTAGCATATCTTATTTGCATAGGCCACACCCCCTGACATCACCGGAAGTGTGTCAGAAGGCAACACACACCGCTCAGGCTCCACTGGACCGTTTTGGATTGCTAGCTATTGGGGGAGGGGGGGAACGTGCAGACATGCAGATCTGTCCTCACAGAGGAGGGAGAGCTTGTACCTGAATAAACCTTGATCTTAAAGGTGCCACTGGACCCTTTTGGATTGCTAGCTATTGGGGAGGGGAACCTGCAGATCTGCCCTCGCAGAGGAGGGAGAGCTTATACCTGACTAAACCTTGGTCTTAAAGGTGCCATTGGACCCTTTTGGATTGCTAGCTATGGGGGAGGGGAATGTGCAGATCTGCCCTTGCAGAGGAGGGAGAGCTTGTACCTGAATAAACCTTCATCTCAAAGGTGCCACTGGACCCTTTTGGATTGCTAGCTATGGGGGAGGGGAATGTGCAGATCTGCCCTCGCAGAGGAGGGAGAGCTTGTACCTGAATAAACCTTGGTCTTAAAGGTGCCACTGGACCCTTTTGGATTGCTAGCTATGGGGGAGGGGAACATGCAGATCTGCCTTCGCAGAGGAGGGAGAGCTTGTACCTGAATAAACCTTGGTCTTGAAGGTGCCACTGGACCCTTTTGGATTGCTAGCTATGGGGGAGGGGAACGTGCAGATCTGCCCCCGCAGAGGAGGGAGAGCTTGTACCTGAATAAAACCTGGTCTTAAAGGTACCACTGGATTTTTTTGGACCGGGGGGCCAGGGGGGCTCTGTAGCTTACCTAGCTGCTTCTTGCTCTGACTGAGGGCTGCTGGGAGCAGGGGGTGGGGCTTGTTGCATGTGCCCGCCCCCTGGGTTCTTTACTGCCGGAGCTTTGCTCCTGTACGCTCCCGCAGGAAATGATCCCTGGTTTCTGGGAAGATGAACGGCAGCAGATAAGGACTTTTGTTCCTTTCTTACTCTTTGGGTTGATCCTTTCTTAGCGTGCTGCAGGAAGTTTTCTTTTAAAACAAAGTTGTGCCAGAATTTCCTTCAGAACAGTCGGTCCCCAAGTCTGAAAAGTGATAGAGGCAGGATTTTTTTGGACCGGGGGGCCAGGGGGGCTCTGTAGCTTACCTAGCTGCTTCTTGCTCTGACTGAGGGCTGCTGGGAGCAGGGGGTGGGGCTTGTTGCATGTGCCCGCCCCCTGGGTTCTTTACTGCCGGAGCTCCGCTCCTGTATGCTCCCGCAGGAAATGACCCCTGGTTTCTGGGAAGATGAACGGGAGCAGATGAGGACTTTTGTTCCTTTCTTACTCTTTGGGTCGATCCTTTCTTAGCGTACTGCAGGAAGGTTTCCTTTAAAACAAAGTTGTGCCAGAATCTCCTTCGGAAAGGTCGTTCTCCAAGTCTGAGAAGTGATAAAGGCGGAAGACCGAATCCGTAGCGTGTGCCCACCCCCCACCCCCAGCTTCTGCCGCCTCCATGCCCTATTTTCCACCCCCGCTAACTCTGTCCGTTTCTCCTCTTGCCACAGCGTGCTGGACCTCAATGCCTTTGAGAGGCAAAACAAAGCCGAAGGACTGGGCATGGTAACGGAAGACGGGACAAGTAAGTCACCTCCCGCCCCTCGGCATCCCTTTCAGATGGCGCTGGGCCCGTCCCGTTCACGGCAGCCGTCGTGCCCCATGGGGCGCTCTGGCAAGCCAGGTAGCCCCGGTCCCCCCCCCCATCTTCTGCCACCCTGGCCACGCTCTT